TTTCTAATCATAGATATTCATAATGACCTGGAAAGAAAATAGTATCTCCAAAGTATAATTTTTATGATCTAGACAGTAGGAATGGATATGTTGGCATAACACATCTTAGTCCTAGTTAGTTAATTGCCCTTTTCTATGAAAATGAATATATTTTGTCTCTTATGAACAAGTGATTTCATGAGAGGACATTGTTCAGATTGCTAAGGGCACAAACATAACCTCCTATCAGACCCAGGACTCAACCCATGAGGAAGCAGCCCACAAGGACTATACTCCTGCTAGTTCTCATGGATTAGGACCTGGATAAGGAGCTCAGGTGTAACTTCTGTAGCACCCCGCCCCCTTACTCTTTAGAAATAATGCATTTGGTTCTCTTTACTTAAATCTATAATGTGGCTTATTACATAGTCACAACCTCCAGGGCTGCAACCCAACCACTCTGTGGGAGTGAGTAAGTTAGCTCTGGTGGCCAGTTTCCTCACTGCTTCTGACTCTGTTAGAATCAGGTCCAGGAGCAATGACCAGGAAGCGTTTGAGGGTCGGATATCACACAACATCCTCAAACAACACCACTTCCTTCTCTTTCCAGCCCAGGGTCCTACCCCCCCCCCCATATAATGCTGTGCTTTGTTTCTGTTCTGTTTTCTTTAAATGCTACGGTTTTGTTTTTGTTTTTGAGAATTGAAATCTTCAACATAGTTTAGTATGAGATAGAAAGTTTAGAATCCTTGCAAAAGGTTTAATACATTGATACATTCATATAAAGAATTAGCTTGTTTAAAAAGAATTTAAAGAAACCCAGGAAGAACATGTACTGTTACAAGTGTATTTAGTAATGAAGTGGCTCAGGAGAGTCCTAGATAATGGTGTAGATGCCACTATGTTTACATGGACTGAATTTCTTTGAAGTAATCTGTTTTTTTTTTCTAATTATTCTTCTAGTTAAATAAATTGGGAAGAAAAGCACAGGTCCTGAAACATTATTGGGTCTATGTTTTACTCTATATAGAAGAAAATGTCTCCAGGAAAAAGCATTGAATTTGTTTCCTGAAATTTCTAAAACCTTATTTTGAATATTTCCAAAAATCATCCAAAACAGAGTATTCTACATTCTGAAGTGCATAGAAGTGAGTGTTGTTTTTTTTAAATGGCTTTATAAGTTAAATTTAGGTGGAAAATTATAAAATCAAAGAGCAAATAAACTCATCTGGGCAGTCACTTCTTCACTTAAATGCCCATGGCTGTGTTGTGCTATGATTTAAAAGGAGGGGTGGTCTATGTGCATTACTAAGAAGCCTTGACAAGACATCTGTGCTCAGTCTACATTAAGAGCTGATCCAAACCAGTGAGGGTGGTGCTCACCTCTAATTGGGAGACAGTGTGTATTAGTTCCCGTTCTGTTGCTGTGGTAAAACACTCTGACTAAAGGCAGCTCAGGGGAAGAAAGGATTTATTTTGGCTTATAGTTCCAAAGAGGTAGAGTCCATCATGGCAGGGCAGGCATAGCAGAGTAAGGGAAAGCCTGGCAGCTAGATGGTCACGTTTAATTCAACACAAGAAGCAGAGGGAGAGAAAACCCTGAAAGCCTTCCCCTACTGATGTACTTTCTCCAGCAAGGCTCCACCTACAAAATGTTACATAACATCTTCAAACAGCACCATATATGGGAGCCAAGTGTTCACGTCCACAAGGCTTTTGGGGGCAGTCCTCATTACAACCACCACACTGAGGCAGGAGGATTAACACTTTGTGCCTAGACTAAGTAAAAAAACAAAACAAAACAAACAAAAACAAGCAAACAAACAAAGAACTAATTCCCTGACCTCAGCTTTCACTTGTGTTATCTGTTCACTTAGGGGTCACCTGTGACAAGGATGCCCACTGCTTATTTAGAGAGGCTAGAATAAACCTGACCTCTTCTTATCAACTTTTTTGTTGTAGCATTTCATTCTGTGGCTTGCATCAAATCAGGCAGGGTTGTATAACCTCAATTTGTATGGTTTGAAACAATACAGTTATATTTTTGAGGGACTGAAAAGGAAGATTGGCCAGAAAAGAATGATCACTTGAAATACTAGAAAATTTTAAGGTCAGTGGGAACCATACTACATTCCTTTCATTCCACATTGCAATTCTTCTTATAAGCAGTCTTCAGGCAATAAATCCCAGGAACACCACTACCAGATAATGCGTTCAAGTCAATGATCGGCCCGTGCTAATGTCCCTGGGAAGAAGCCAGCTGCTACAGGGCACACCAAAGACCTGCATGCAGAAAACATGTAAACAGCAGTGCCTAGGCTGACAAAGGACCAAGAAATCACCAAGCAGGAAAATATTTTCAGCAGATTCAAAGGTGCATCATTCAGGCTCACATGAATAAAAGCATTTGTCCCTTAAGATCAGCCTATAGAAAAAAAAAAAAAAACACATCTCCTCATTCTCCTACTTCATCTGTTCCATAAGGGATATTTGCAAGACCAGTTTGGCCCTGGAATCACATTATCCAAAACCATGAAATCTTCAAACATAACTCTGAAATTAACCAAAGACTATGAAAGCCTTTTGCCAAATAATATGGATGTCAATGGCAAAAGATGAATAATAGTCCTTTACTCAGGAAAGGAGGAATAAATCCAGATCATTTTCTTTCACCTTGCCTGTTTTAGGTGAAGGACCCATTTAATCAAAAGTAGAAACTTTTTTTCTGTTTTTTTTTTGTTTGTTTGTTTGTTTGTTTGTTTTTGAGACAAGATTTCTTATGTAGTCCTTACTGTCCTGGAACTTGCTCTGTAGACCAGGCTGGCCTCAAACTCACAGAGATCTGTATGCCTCTGCCTTTTGAATGCTGGGATTAAAGGTGTGTGCCACCACTGCCTGGCTGTAGAAACTTTTAATATGAAAAATGTTTGATAATTACATCATAAACATACAGGTAATCTTGTGATGCCAGCACTGTCCACACTATTCTGATGTGCTCAATCACAACCTCAATTGCTAATGAACTGTTAGGCATTACCAATGCTTTTATGCTAAAAGATTAGTACTTTTACATCACAGTATATATTGTTCAACTAATTAAGCTTTAACATGAATAAACAATGCATAATAAACAAAGAGAAGGAAAGGATCAGACAATGTTAAGTCACAGCATCAAACACAGTCAACTGCATTTGGCCAAGGGCACTCTGCTTCAGAATATCTCTCTATGCATCTACATTTCTACACATATGTATCTAACTATCTGTCTTATTATTGTTGCTACTATTTTATTTAACTCTCTTTCCTCTTCTTCTTTCCATGCTAGGAATTAAAGGTTCTAAGACTAAAGTATGTCCCCAGTCCTCTTTTTACTTTTAAAATTATGAGGTAGGTTTTGTCTAAGTTACCTATTCTGGCTTTGAATTCACTCAATAACTAAAACAATGCTTAAATTTGTGATTCTCCTGTTTCAGGCCTTGGAATAAGTGAGGTCTAGCTACAGATTTACTTCAAACTAACTTGAATTTGAGTGGTAATTTTGTTGACTGCATTTTGGGTAGCTAAAAATAATATACTATTATGAGTTTTCAAAGATATGCTTGGGGTCAATATCAATATGTAAATTATAAATGACTAACATAATCAACACTGAAAAAACATTGTCTTAGAACTTATATGTCATGCAGATATCCAGGTACAATTTCCGTGTAACTTGAAACTCCTAACATTGTTTCTTGTTCAGGTTGGAGAGAGGTCAGTGAAGAGTATGTCCTGTTCTTAGACAGCCCCAGGCTTGGTTGCCAACAGGTGGCTCACAGCCACCTACAACTCCCGTTACAGGAGATCCAATGCTTCCGGTTTCTGCTGGCATCTGAATGCCCATGGTGTGTATGTACTCATGCAGCACAGACACCCACATACACAAAATATATAATAACAATACTCATAAATCTTAAAATAATTGTTATTTTATTGAAGTATAGTGATTTTAATATATTCTTAATAGATTAGTGTTTGCAGACCATAGTTATAATCAAATAAATGCTATTTATCTCCCCAGACAGCACCCCCAGAAAATGAGAACTGTGCTGAATCCCTTCATTGATCCACACAGAAGCACAAACTCCCCACTCCAACATGGTGGATGCTATTTGTCCTGTGAGACTTGTCCTGCCAATGTTTGGTATATGTCTAGAACACAATGTAAACAGCAAAAAACCAAAACAAAACAAAACTTCTTAATCAAGAAATGCTAAAACAAAGCAATAAAATATATGGAAAATATTTTTTCTTTGAAAAATATCTCAAACTCAAATATAAAATGCTACTGAATTTTAGACAAAATGGAAACTTCAAATGAATAAATCAAACAGGTGTTAGTTGTTTATTTTGTAAATTTTATATGAATCTTTTGGAATTATTATCATTTTTCTTTTTAACCTCTGAAAGCCTAAAGAAACAAACTTTTTAAATGGGCATGGGGCTTACCACTAATTTAAAAATATAAGCCTAAAGGAATATTGGTAAAATTAATAATATTCAAACCTACCACAAAATTAGAAAGGTATCAATTAGTCATTTCAATAAAACAGAGAGACTTGTTCCAGTGAGAACTGTCAATCTTTAACACCTACTCACATCCAGTAGGCAGAACAAGCAAGGACCCGAGTTGCAAGCATAGCTCAAAACAATGAATGACACTTGCTAGTATTGATACTTTGCAAAGGGTTTTCAATGCCTATTTGCAATAATTATGCTATACTTCATTTATCACAGTAAAGTTGTAGAACACACTGTGTGTTTGTGATAAAACAGCCACTCTGTCCATTAAACATTGAGAACCTACTATGCATCCAGGCCATAGACAACTGGAAGTTCTGGGCCACTTGTGACTCTGACACATCATCAATCAGGGTTTGCCCTGCATGGTTAACATTTTTCTACTACCACTCAAATGAATACTAGCCCTCTTTACATGATTTATTTAAGTAAGTAAAAGAGTGTGGCCAATTCAGGATTACCTCACATTTATTTAGCAGCCCGGTTTCTTGTAGCCGTGACCAGATGCTCTGTATCCGCCCAGCGTGCTCAGGGTGGGTGGTAGAATTGCCACAGATGCACTGGTGTTTCAGCATCAGGGGGTCATAGGCAATTCCTTGGAGATAAAGAAAACACAATCAAAGGAGGCATCGTAGAAGGTTTTGCTCTGCATTATCAGATAGAGTAAGTAGTGTGAAGCTGTTCTCAAGACCATGTGTCAGCTATTCAACCTTGTGTGTCTGAAAACGTATGCAAAACATCTACCATGGATGGACCAGTACTCAAGTCTTAGTTCAATAAATATGTAAGGTGATATGTAAGTATGTATATACACACATATATTGTCACATGAATAATGCAGTCTTATCAGTATTTCAAACAATTCAAATAATCGTGAACTCCTCTAGGCAGATCATTCACTTCAATATGGGTTCTAATTTTGTCAGTGAAGTTATGAAGTAAACAGTTTTAAAATCTTGAAATGACTTTATGAGTAAACTTGAGTTTCACTTTAGGGTTATTTCTTGGAATAAGCTGGAGGATTTCCAGTGTCTTCCCTAGTCAGTTTAGCATTCCATCAAAGTTGTTCCACAAGCTCCTTTGCTTCCTTATGCCTCTATTGTAACATTTGCCAAAATACAAGAAACACGCCTTGTGGAAAGCAGACGAAGTCCTGAGCAAATACGTATTGTTGACTGGAGCACAGCCATGTCAAGGACCCTATGCCTCAGACTCATGGGAATGGCAAGGCTTTCCCTACGTCTGGCTCAGAAGAATGGCAAAACCTTCTGCTCTAAATCTATATGTTACAAAAGATTTGCCTATAGTGAAAACCAATTTATACAGAAACTATCAGGCACAGCTTTCTCTTCCAGTGTGGACTACAACCTGAAACTTGGAGAATTTCTCATGGCCTGACAAGAAGCTTTTCTATCATCATGTCTCCCTTGACATTTTAGTCAGTGATGTCAGTGGGGAGCAGATGAAGTCCTGAGGGAATGCATGTCATTGGCAAGAGCACAGTCACATCAAGGTTCCCAGCACCTCAGTCACATGGAATGTCAAGGCCTGGCCCAGGTATTCCTATCGACAAACGGTTGGCCTTCAGCTAAACCCAGTGTGTGTAGACAGTATGACTGCAGCTTCCTCATCCTGGATGTCTGCAGAAACTATCAATATTACCCTCCTCCAGGATAACTGCAACCTGAGACTGCACCCCTACAGAGAGACCTTCTACCAAGACTAGCTAGCCACCTCCTCACTCAGCTGTGTACAGTGACCTCACTTCCTGCTCATTTGCATATAATAACTCACTTCCTTGTTTGGCTGTCTACAATAAACCCACCTCCTCCTTCAGTGCCATATAACAAATATGCTGAGTTCCTGGGCTGCTGGTACATCTCCATCAGAGCACACAGCCTACCCAATCCAGTTTAGCTACACCTGTGTCTGTGTGTTTGTCCTTTCTTCATTCCCTCATAGAACCTGTTGGGTCAAGTCCAAAGCTGTACAGGTCAAATCAAGTCCAAAGCCATGCAATGCCAACTGTAGACATTATGATTGTGAAACTCTTGTTGGGTTTCTTTTAAAAACGAGTATCAATTATAATGCCTTCACTACAGATTTCATAGATAATGAAGTTCAGCACATATTCAGAATTTAGTATATGTGATGTTTTAGTTATACCCTATGGTGGGAAAATTTGTCGAAAAATGTTGTTAGTGAAACATAATATAGGATTTTGGTGGGGCAAGAGATAATGTGATTTGTAAAACTGTCTCTTATAAGAAATTGTTTAGCTGATCAAACATCTTCCAATCAATGATAGCTCAAGTACATTCAAGGTGATGGTGGATCAAGTACCTATGATAAGAAGTTAAAGAACAATAATAAAAACTATTCAGTAACTTTTTAATGCCAGCCTTTGACTTTATTTTCTCTTGGACCTACATTATCATATAAAGAGATATTACTGAAGATGGGAAAATATTTCCCTTTGAGTGTGCTAAAATCATGCAGAAGAATGACATCTGCATCTTGAAACCATATGGTAAAAATTATGTCTGTCAGGAAATATTGTTTTACTCTTCCAAATAATATCCATTCTTAAGACTCACTGACTTCAAAACCCACTGCTCTGCCTGTTCCTGATCTCCTGGAACTTTTCTCAGCCTGGATCTCTCTTCCTAGCTGCTGAGCACACGCTTATCTATCTGAATGCCCAAATCTCCCCTTGAATGCCTCGTGGTTTTCCTAAATGCAAATGGCTCTGATTTTCAATTCTTGATCTTAAACCACACTCTGTGCTCTTCAGTTTTACAAGGGACTACCAGATCCTCTATTGCTCACACCAGAAACCTTGCTGTCCCCTTGATATTCCTAGACTCCAAAGGCCTGTCTGTTTTCCCTCCCGAACAGATCTTGAATCACTCACTTCTTATCTCCGTGGCTCAAACCATACACAATCCACAGTCCTATCCTCTCTAATCTGGACTCACAAGATAACTGGGAACCAGCTACTTGATTGTCCTTGTCTCAGTCGCCACACCATAGCAGCCGCTTTGCTCACAGACCCGGCTTCCCTGATGAGAGTGACATTCCATCAGTGCAGCAGAGATAAGTCCCTTCCCTCCTCTGTAGTTCTCTGTTCACGGGGCCTCTCTTAGGTTTCTGTGTCTACAACAAAGGCTTTTCTTACATTCCTCACAAAGGTCATAACCCACCAGCTTGAGCTCTCCCTACATGCTGTTCCTCGATGCCCAGGTCCTTCCTCCTCTGCCTAACTCCCCCTCTCAGCTGGCTCACTCCATTTTTTTCTTCAAGGTTCAGTGTTAATGACACCTACCCAACAAAATGCCACCTGAGATCTAAATCAGATCCCTCTACCAGTATGTCTGACCTCTCAGCTTTCTCTATGCTCTGGGGACTCCTTCAGAACACTGATGAAAAGGACATAATACCATAGTTTTGTCAACTTTATCTTTTCTTCACTAGACAGTAAGATTTACAGAAGAACAGGCTATAGTTTACTATTTTAAAAACTTTTGAATTCCCCAGTTTCTGCAGCCATGTTTGGAATAAAGCAGGGCCTCCAGAGTATGCTGGGATGAGTGAGTGAAAAGCATAGGTGAGGAAACTCAGGAATGCGGGGTCAGCATTCTGTGATCCAGCCTTCCTTGATGAACTCAGCCAGCAGATCTGCTTGGACTCTAGGTGCTTAAGTAGCCTTCACTGATATACTGCCCGTTGCCTTATACCCCTATGTCTCAGCCAAAATGCATTTCTTTTACCTCATTTTATATTTGTATAAAACATTTTGCACGATTTCACTGTTTTCATTTTGTAGAAAATCCAACATGAGTGAATATTCTTAAATAAAGTAAAAGGAAGATGTCAGAAAGGGCAGACAAGAAACAAGGCAGGCAGCAAGGCAGGGTGACAGGAAATCACAAAGTGCACTGTGTGTCTTGGTGATCATCCTTATCAAAGTGATTTATGGGTTGCATTACTTAATCAAAGCTGTTTAATAAATTTTCAACTTCTGCTGCATACTACAACAAATAATAAAACAATATAGAAATGAGAAGTATAATATCTGCCTCATTAAAATATATCCTTTAAGAGCACAAAATATAATTATGTTACTTAACTGTTTCTATTTTTCTTTATAAATCTAAGCCCATTTAGATAATAAATTTCCCCTTTTTAAATTTTTTACAACACACACTGTCAAGAAAACTAAAATTAGGAAACAAGCCCTGGTAGCTACAAAGTCTTGCCTTGTATCTGGAGATTGTAACACAAAGTTCAGGAGCTCTTGAAAAGGCATTTAAATTTAAGGGGAGATAAATAAACTCTGGAACCCAGAGTTTCACTGACGCATCTTAATGATGTATCAATGAGGTGCTAACAGGTCTCCTGTAAGGTGAGACATCAGCCTGTCCTTCTCCGTCCTTTTCCTCTCTCTTTTTGTTTTCCCAGAAGCAGAGACGCAGAGGGCGGGGAAGCAGCCTGCTCCCTCCCTGAGAACCACATGGAACTGACTTTTGTTTTACACCTTCTGCCCTGCTGGTTAGCAGCTGTCACATAAACCCAAGGACCCAGCTTTTTCATGAAAAATGTTTACGCAAAATAGTCTTTGAAACCTTTACCTGTGCTTTAAACCTCAGAAGTAAGCTTTCTACAACACAGACACCTCCTCACACGTGTGCGCGCACACACACACACACACACACACACACACACACACACACACACATACTACACACATATACACACACCACATATATATACATGCAATACACACAACCACACATACACACACACCACATATACACACATGCTACACAAAACACACATACACACACACTACACACATACAGACAGACACACATACATACACACTACACATGCACACACACACTACACACATACAGACAGACACACATACATACACACTACACATGCACACACACACTATACACATATACACACACCATATATATATACATACAATACACACAACCACACATATACACACACTACACACACACCACACATACACACATGCTACACACAACACACATACACACACACTACACACATACAGACAAACACACATACATACACACTACACATGCACACCCACACAGATAAGTTTGGATGTTTTAGATAAGTTTGGACTGTGTTTTCTGTGGCTTTCAGCTTAGTAAATGTGATGATGTATTTGAAGCAGCAAGTCTTAGTCAGGGTTTCCATTGCTGTGAAGAGACACCATGGCCACAGCAACTCCTATAAAGGAAAACATTTAATGGGGGCTGGTTTACAGTTTCGGAGGTTCAGTCCATCCTGGCGGGGAGCATGGTATGGCATGCAGACAGATGTGGTGCTGGAGCTGAGAGTCCTTACATCTTGACTCAGAGGCAACAGGAAGTGGACTGACTCACTGCACAGTATCCTGAGCATATGAGACCTCAAAGCCTGACACCATAGTGACACACTTCCTCCAACAAGGCCATACTCACGCCAACAAAGCCGCACCTTCTAATAGTGCCACTCCCTATGAGATTATGAGGGCCAATTACACTCAAACCACCACAGCTGTCTTTCCTGTTC